TGGGTTCTTTACACAGAGAGTAGTGGGTGTGTGGAATGTGCTGCCGGCAATGGGAATGGAGTTAGATACATTAGGGACATTTAAGTGACTCTTGGATAGGCACATGGATGATAGTACAATGTAGGGTATGCAGGGTAGTTTGATCTTAGAGTAGGATAATGGGTCGGCACAACATCGTGGGCTGAAGGGCCTGTACTGTGCTGTATTATTCTATGTTCTGTGTTCTAAAATGCCCTGGAGATAGTCAGCAGTTCTGTCTGTGTGTGTGTGTGTGTGTGTGTGTGTGTGTGTGTGTGTGTGTGAGAGAGAGAGAGAAAGAAAGAGAGAGAGAGATGGGGGTGGGGGGGTGGGTGTGGGTTGCGACGAAACAGACTTAGTGTTTTTGAGTCTTCAGAGATCTGTCCAGTTATCACCCCATCAGTCTACTCTCAACCATCAGCAGAATAATTACTGATACTATCAATTGGCATTTCCTCAGCAGTAACCTGATCTCTGCCTAGTTTGAGCCCTACTAGGACCACTTGTTCTTTATTGCAGTTATTATCTACATATGGGCAAAGAACCAAATTCCGGAGGTGAATGCTATTCACATCAAGACTATGTTTTGACTGAGTGTGACGTTAAGAACCCATAATAAAAACTCATTAATGTAAAGCATGGGGAAAACTTGCCAGTATCTGCCAAGATGGTTGTGATTTCTGGAGACCTATTATCTCAGTCCCCCAGGATTTTGGCCCCAGTAACTCCTCCTCCATTGTCCAAGGCCCAACTATTTTCAGTTGCTCCATCAACAAACTTTGTTCTGTTGTAGGAGCAGAACTGGGATGTTCACTAATTGTCACATAGTGTTAGTTTAATTCACAATTCTTCAGATAATGAAATGCACAAGAAGATGTGGACAATGTTCATATTTGAGTTGATAAGTGGCAAATGACATTTCTACCAAGCAATTGCTGGGCAATGACCCTCTCCAATGAGGGAATCTAATCATCTTCCCTTAATATTCAATAGCATTGCCTGGGTGAAACCACTGCCATCAACATCCTGGGATTCACCATTGAACAAAAAATAAGCTGGACAAACCACATAAATACTTTAGCTGCATAACCAGGTCAGAATCTTGATATTCTGGACTAACCACTTTCTGATTCCCCAAAGCCTGTCCACCATCAGCAAGGTACAAGTCACGTGTGACACACTATTTCCTATCTGCCTGGCTGAATGTAACTGTAACAACATGCTCAAAGCTTGATGTAATCTAGTACAAAATAGCCTGTTTGATTTAACAATTCATTCACCACATTCACACACTCCTCTACCAGCACACACTGGCTGCAGCATGCCTCATATAAAGGAAACACTGTTGATGCACTTGACAAGACTTATTCAATGTTGCTTTCCAAACCTGCAATTTCTATCATCCAGAAGAACAAACATCAGGCAAATGGGAATACTACTACCTGCAGGTTCCTCTCAAAGTTACCCACTAGCGTGACTTTGAAATATATCGCTGTTCAATTATTGTGTCTGTCAAAATTTTAGAACTCCCTAAAACCAAGCCACATAGACTGCACTGGTTCAGGAGGCAACTCAACAGTACCTCCTCAAAGCAATTAGGGAGGGGCGATAAATATTGGCCTTGCAAGTGATACTTGCATCCTATGAGCAAGTCTTTTGAGGAGGGAAAAAAACTTCCCTAAAGCAAATTTAGGGAAGTTTTCTATTATCCTATTGGATATAAAAGGGTACATTTAATGAGAGCTAGCTATAAGAATCGAGTGAAAGCAAAATAACTGCAGATTCTGAAAATCTGAAATAAAATCCAAGTGCTGGAGAAATTCAGGCCTGGCAGCAGCTGTGGAGAAAAAAAAACAGGGTTAGTGTTTCAAGTTTTGATATGACTTCTTCAGAATTCTGTTCTTAAATTCTTCAGTTAAAAATTTCAGTTATTTAGGAATCAAAGGGTCTGATTAGTTCATTGCAATCTGGATGATTACTGTTTCTTGTGCAGATTTGATTTAAATGCATTAACTGTCACTCTTGTCTATTTTGTTAGTAATTGCTGCTTAAGACTTGCTGGACTTGATTTTAGAACTGTTTCGTTTTTCTTGTTACATCTGGAAGGCCTTGTTTGTGGCGGGGGAAGGAGGAAGGAGGTGCAAATGAGGGGACATGAAGATGATTAGCATGAGTTCTGAAGGGAAGATGTTGGGTGGCTGAATTGCTTCAAGATGCATGTTTCCGAGGACAGGGTGTGGGATTGTAAGTGCTTTGAGTCAGTCTGATGGTATTAAATATGACTGTCTTTTTTAAGTATATAAAGAAATTGAACTTTTGTAATATCTGATAATTATGGGTGTGTAATTTGTACTCGAGGATTTCCTTCAAACATTTGTATTTTCTCTTAATTATTTGTTGTGCTAGCAGTTGTACTGTCAGTAATTATGCAAACTGCTTTTTGATATTTTGCCCATGTAATGTACACTACATAAAAGTTGAATTTTGTCAGTAATAAAGTAATTTGAGAGAAAATATTTTAACAGGTTAATATATTTGAGCATTAAAAATATTTCTGCTGATTAATTGGACCTCTTGCGTAAAAATTAGCTAAATGCAAAAAGTACTACGGATGCTGGGGTTGATCAAAAAATGGTCATCTTTGGACAAACATTTGTACGTCTCACCGGCTAAGTCATCCATTGCAGGCATTTTCAAAGTTATAGCCACTAGCTGTAAAAATATGTGTAAATCTCTTAAAAATAATTAACTGTAACACTAAGAGCAGCAGAATGTGTTATTCTCCTTTTCATCTTGTAAATCAGCAACCATATCATTGGTTAGGATGGGTCTATAATCAATATTTCTAAAAGGTTATCTTTTTAGGTCTTAGAAAAGGCCTTAGAAAAGCAAAACATATATGATCTATACAGCTTTGTCTAATCATATGCAATAATTATACTTTTGCTTATAAATGGGTGACTTAAACCATGATAGGGAGAAGAATGGCTGAAGTAAACATTTTGGGTCTCTTTTTTAGACCAAATCTGCCATTTTTTTCCCAGTTTGTTCTGTGGAGGTTTGAAAAGCCAAGCATTTCAACAGGAAGCAAGACTAGTTCTATACTTATTGACCAAATTATACAACCTGTGTTGGAATGGCTTTTGTTTGCAGTTACAGTTTGGTGGTTCTTTATTGTTTTTGAGTATAGAATGCTAGATTAATATTCTATACTTTGTTGCGTGGCCAAGAGTTATGAGAATTTTTTATTTCTTTGAACTTTTAAGCAAAATATTCTCATATATTACTTTAGTTCAGAAAATCCATTAATAAGAAAAGAGGATGTGTACATTTTCTTGTGAATTTGCCATTACTCAGCAATCCAGTGGTGGAAGAAATATAATTGATGGAATAAAAAGGATAACTTTTAAATTGGGGAAAGAAAATACTGTACTGTTTCTTAATTCTTAGATTTTAGTCTTTATATTAGTTCAAGAAGTCACCAATTTCAAAATGGTTATTGATGCTATGGGAAGCTGTTAGCTAAAGATGCAGCATTTGGGAAGATCCTCCTATAATAAATTGAACCCATACACAATGAGATTCCAATTGTAGTCTGGAGAAAACAATAATGTATAAAATTGAGACTACTGCTATAATTAGAGGTTCAAGTAAGTAGAACAGTCAGAGCTGCTTTGCTTTTTTCTTTTTGATTTATGAATGTTAGAAAATATGTTTTTTCTTATTTCTGAAACTACTCTCGGCACTTCGGTAGTCATTCTTGAGCTGAATATTTTTAACCTATAGAACATCTGACTTTGACTGTATTATGCAATCATACCAGTGATTCATCTGCATCAGTTTCTGTCGAACGCAATGTCAAAGAAATTATTCACTGTGCAAGAGAATTCAGACAGATGTTAAGCTAGAACTCTCTTTGTAGATTTTCGTTGAAAAAGTACAGGTCACCTGAGGAACTGGGTATTTATTTCTGTTGGTGTTCAATGGGAATATTTTAAAGGGATAAATGTATTATTGGTGCAAATAAATCTAACTGGCAAAATTCAACCTGTTCATGTTTCTCTTGTTCTCTCCCGTGCTCATAATCTCTCACTAAACACCAGACTATGAGGCAGTCAACTATGATTGGAAATTCAAAGGGCTGTTGTGGCACAGTGGCAGTGTCCCTACCTCTAGGCTACAGAACCTAGCTTCAAGTCCCACCTGCTCCAGAGGTTTGTCATAGCATACCTGAACAGGTTAATTAAAAAAAAAATTGGAAATTCATTGTGACAGTTCTGGTAGAATATTTGTGGTATAGTCTGTATACTAACTGACCTATTGTGTGACTTTTAATGTCTTCTAATGTGCTGTGATTAGTTTTACAACCTGAGGTATTCGCAAATAAATAATAAGTACCCTGTTGCAGATCAAAATTTCTTCAGGTACCGAGTTCACTTTGCATAATAGGTATATTTGCATTGCATCCAGAAGTTTTTGATTACTAGTGCGTGTATCCGTGATTATATCTCTGATCCTAATTTTATTTGTGTTAGGATTCTCACTTTTTAAATACATTTTCAATGCTGCTAAAGCTAATATTTGGAAGGGGAGGATTGTGATTGGTGTGCAGTGAAGGTAAAGACATTGAGAAAGATATTCCTGAAGGTGTTTCACTAGCTCTCAGCCAGTGAACTTATTTTTGAATTTGAGGACTGTATGAATTCTTACACTATCAATTGAGCTTCTGTTTCTGGACAAATCTGCAATCATTTAGTTGTGGTGTGAAAAATGTTGCTACTTAATCAACATGCAGAGTTCACATGTCTTAGAAGGAATGGCTTTTCTGTGAAAACATTGGTTGCTTTTCTGAGGCAGATGGGTTTGTTAAGGATCTCTAAATGACAAACTCGTGGCAAAGTTAAAAGTGCATTAATAATCAGAATTTGTACAGGTGGGTGGTCTGCTAGGATTTCTTGTAACCCCCTGTGTTCTTCTTGTAGCTCCTTGCTCCGTTATGGAGGAAAACTTCCTATGCAGAGTGCCATGAGTGTCCGCTTCAATAGTAGTGGGACCCAGCTGTTGGCACTGCGGCGTCGCCTACCTCCAGTATTATATGACATTCATTCGCCACAGTCTGTGTTTGAGTTTGATAACCAAGGATATTTCAATTCCTGCACTATGAAGAGCTGTTGCTTTGCAGGAGACCGTGATCAAGTAAGTAAACACCATTTAAAAGGAATGATTGGACAAGTGGCTTTTAGCTACTTATATTGTCATCTAGGGTCTGAGAGACCTTTAAGAGTAAGCTGATTGCTCACCTTTGAAAGAAATTATATTGAGAATTGCTGAGTCAAGCTATGTGTCCATAAATAAAGGTAGATATGCTGATATGTTTTAGGCAACATATCACATTGTTCAGTAATCTGATAAACAATCTAACCATTTGCAGGAAGAAATTGTTATACATTTTAAAAAAAAAAACTGAACTACAAGCGACTAAGAGCTGTACCATGCCAGGATTTGGAAACTTTTCCATGGAGGTGAAATGCCTATTGCTTTTTGCACATGTTGGACGTATTTCCCTAGCATTCATACTGTGTTGTTTCTGTTACTCAATGTAGCAGTATGTTTGGAATGTCTAGTGAACTTGTTATATTTTTATCTCCCTACATAGTGAGAGCTTTGCCTTTATGGATGAGCTCATAGACTTGAGATTTTGTTAAATATAGTAATGGGCAAGACTTTTGAGTGTTGTGTGCAGTGTCTCCAAAGTATTCTAGTTCTCTTCCCTTGAGTAAATGGGAGTAAAACAAAAATCAAAGATGTTGGTACAATGTTCCTTAACAAGTTGAGTGCTAAATTAGACTTTAACAGTGTGGGATTAGCACTGCTGTTAATGATAAGAATCAGCAGAATTGAATTGTGGATTTTAGGGGGGTCAATTAATTAGCGCAGTTGGCTGGACGGTTAGTTTGCAGTGCAGAGGGATGCCAGTAGCATAGGTTCAATTCCCGCACTGGCTAAGGTTAACATGAAGGGCTCTCCTCAATCTCTCGCCTCGCTGAGGTGAGTTAAACCACCACCTAATGAGAGAGAAGTCCTATGGTCTAGTAGAACTATGGCAACTTTACCATTACCTATTGTGGATTGGTGGTAACTGGGTAAAGCTATTGCTCAGTATGTAAATTGCAATCTGCTCTGTAGACTGTCATTGGAATGCAAGTGAAAGCTTCCATTTGAGATAAGAGTAGACTGGCATTCTGCATTCAAATACAGCCTCGTGGAGGTGTTGGCCAAAATTTCAATTGCCCCGAGATTGCAGTCCTACATTATGATGGATTTCAGTGTATCATTTGAAGTATGAAGTTTCTGTTATATCGGCATAGAAATGGCAATCTATTGTTTGGTAATTTTAATTCAAGCCCATTGAAATGTGATTGGCAAGCTTGTTAACGTGACATTTTTCTTCTGAAAAACTATTGTTTGTCTCCAGTGAATTCTAAATGTGTCACTTGAATTGTTTGAGAATATGCATTTGCTTTTTTAAACAGAAGTGCCTTCACTTCAGAATTTTCCATCATGACTAAGCCAGTTTTAATTTATGCTGCTAAAACTGAACATTTTTCACTTTATTCCCTCTAAGTGTACTGAGTTTGTTTGTGTTATTTTTCTTTGTTAATGATACAAGATGTCAGTAATTTTTATTTATTTTAAAGACACCCATGACATCATCCTATAGCTCCAACAAGTGCGAGGAGTTCAGGGACTTCATTGCAATGAAGATTCCAAACAGCAGCTCAGCTGTCTCTTTCACTTCCTATTCCATAGTTAATTCTTAATCCATTCCAATCTTTCCTCTTTGAAAGTCCCTACTCACAATGTTTAACTGTACCACTCTCTCTGTTACCTCATCAAAAATATAACCATGTTAGTTTAACACACATTGTCATTGAAAAATCTGTGCTGGCTTTTTTTAAAAATTAAATCCGTACTTGTCCAAATGACGACTGTTAATTTTCTAAAATGTTTCACTATCACTAACATTAAAATAACTGACCTGTATTTGCCAGATTTATCACTTTCTTTTATTAAAGTGGAACACATGTTTTCCTCCAGTCTTCTGTTACCGCCTGTGCAGGAGGATTGGAAGATTATGGCTGACAGGAAACAGAGTCAAGTGGTCATTTTTAAGTTTAACAAACTGTCACCTTGGAGTGCCACAGGCATCCGTGCTGGGCCTCAACTACTTACAATCTATATTAATGATTTCGATGAAAGCAGTGAGAGTATTGTACCAAGAATTGCTAATGGTAAAAAGATAGATGGGAAACCAAATTGAGAAAAGGATACAGAGTCCACAAAGGATGTAGTCAGATTAAGTGATGGGCCAAAATGTGGCATGTGGAGTATTGTGTGAGATTGTCCACATTGGCAGGAAGAGTGAAAAATCAGAAAATTTGAGACTGCAAAATGCCAAGATGCAGAGGGATCTGGGTGATCTTGTAAATGGAACACAAAGTCAGCATGCAAGTACAGGAAGTAATTAGGAAGATAAAAAGAATGTTGGTTTTGATTGCAAGGGAGATGGAGTATTAGAGCTGTGGAGGGAAATGGTAAGAGCACACCAATGTATTGTGTGCAGTTTTGACATTCTTCCTTAGGGAGGGATTTACTTGCATGGGAAACTGTTCAGAGAACGTTTACCACGCTGATTATTGGGCTTGAAGGGGTTTTACAAAAAAAGGTTAATGGGCCTGTAGTCTGAATTTAAATGAATGTGAGATGATCTTATTGAAACATAACATATCTTAGGGGTTTGACAAGGTAGATGCTGAGTGAATGTTTTCCCCTTAAGGGGCATTTTAGAATCAGGGAGCATAGCTTAAAAATAAAAGGCTTCCCATATAGTAGATGAATTCTCTTCCATGAAGAGCAGTCAAAGTTGGGTTATTGAATGTATTTAAGGCTGAGTTAAATAGATTCTGTAAGGAAGTTGAGGATGATTGGGGGATGGGTTGGGTGTCAGGCAGGAAAGTAGAGTTAATGCCGCTAGCAGGTTAGCCATGGTGGTGGAGTGTGGCGGAGAAGGCTTATGTTGCTGAATGACCTACATGTGCTCCTATTAGCATATGAACACAGTGGTAATTCCTCTTGGTTTGACAATACAATGTAACATACAAAGAGTACATTGTCTTTTGCAGCTAAAATGCAAATGTTATTTATTTCAACTGACTTTATCTGGTATGTTTAAAACTATTCAGTCTTGTTTGGCAGTCTCATGGCTTTATCCAGTGTATAGCTAAACCGTGGGCACAAGGTACAGTCCTAAATCTGTGCCTAATTAGCTACAGTTATTGTCATATTCCATTCTACATCAAACTTCATAGTAACTTCTGGTTCAGCATTGCATGTCTGGTTTAGGGTGCTGTTTGAGATAGCTTCCTGTCTAGATGGAGCTCTCCCGCTCTCTGTCTCTCTACCCCCGCCCCACCAATCTGTCTCTCAGGCTGTGTCAGCCAAGTGTACTTCATTTTGGCAACGTTGTCTGTTACAGAACAGTGGACAAACAGAATTGATGTCTAAATAAGTCGAGTCATTGTATCATAAGTCTGAACTGATTTAAGAGCCTGAAAATAATTCAGAATAATAGTTTGCTTGTCTGTTTAGTGAAGCGTTTTGGTCAAACAGCTGTTGAAATCCTGGAGGCAGAATTATTTTCAACTTTTTGTGCACTTCTTAATGTAGAAAAATGGTGGAGGAGGAAACAGAAAACTGGATGTCAAGCGAAAGAGAAAAGTTAGCGAGGGGTGAACTTGAATGTCTGCTCATCAGTGCGTGTCCAGTAGCGTTAGAAGAGGGGGCTTTCACGGTCCTGTGTGTGTGTGTCAGACAGGCAGACACCGGGCTGGCGAGACTACTGTGGCGTGGGATTATGCTTAGCATGGACTGGAGGTTCCGTTTCCGTGCTCCATGACTGAGAGGAATTCGACATCTAATGATTCTGTAAGGGATGTACTGTGATTCAAGGAGCCGACTTTATCTAGCATGGGCACACATCATAGACTAATGAAATCTAGTGTGAGACATGTACAGCAGAGATTAGGATGAGCTGACATCTATGGAAGTAGGGAGGAATAAGAGGGGGAATAGTTGAGACTAAAATTAACAATGGTAGGTGTTTGAAGAAATGTGAATGTATTTGATGTACCAACTGGCATGCCACAGTCATCTGATATCTACCTCTGCTGTAAGTGCGTTTGTTTGCGGTCTATGACAACCATCCCAGATGTCACTTGTTACATTGTTGTCACGTGATAAGGCTGAAAATATGTGGATTTTCAGAGCTACAAGAGAGTCAGCTATCAAGGAAACAAAAAATGTTTACTTAAAAAAAGCAGTTTGCAATTTTGAATTTCTGAGCGAGTCAAAATAGTTGATAAATCTTCCACTCCCTGCTTCTGCAAAAATTAAACATGAAACAATTTAAAATTTTTCCACGCTCGGTGGCAATCTATGAAGTAGCTACAGAATTCAGTAAAAACAATGAGCAAATCAGATGAGCAACTCTGCCATCGGTGCTAAACGAACAGTCCTTCAGGTCTTAGCGAACAGCAGAAAAGCTGATAGGAGAGATTTTGAGATAACAAGGTGTAAAGCTGGATGAACACAGGCCAAGCAGCATCAGAGGAGCAGGAAAGCTTGACGTTTCGGGCCTAGACCCTTCTTCAGAAATGGGGGAGGGGAAGGGGATTCTGAAATAAATAGGGAGAGAGGGGGAGACGGATAGAAGATGGATAAAGGAGAAGATAGGTGGAGAGGAGACAGGCAGGTCAAAGAGGCCGGGGGTGGAGCCTGTGATAGATTTTGCAGGCTTTGAAGACACAATTTAAACTCCATATCCATGTTACTTAGCAGTGTGTGTTCTGTATTAGAGTTCAGGTGGAGAGGGAGATTATTGATCAATATGTGACTGTGCTAATACATCTTTCAATTGTCCAAACTCTCAAGGTTTAGCTAGAAGATGCCATCAGAAACAGGTTTGTCTTAGACAGAAGATATTTTACTGGGCAGCAAGGAATGGGGAAAAGCAGGAAATGGACTTGGTGAGGGTGCAGTGAGAAGAGAAGGGAAGAGGATTTGGTCTGGAGGAGAAGTTGGAAGGCGGGCTGGAGTTGGAGGGGGCAGATGGGGAAAGTTGCAGCGTTTTGGGAGGA